AGGCCTGTGGGGCGTCTGGGCCCTGTCTGCCTCCTGGTCCCGGAGCCCTCCCAGCCCGCAGGGCACCTGGGCGGGCACACCGGGACGCGCACCTCCACGGGCTGAGCGCTGCGGCGCGGGGTCCCTGTTATACGCACTCCCCACGGAAAGAGCAAAGGCCCAGCTGCCCCAAAGCCAATCAGGGCCCGGGCTTCCAGAGGGGCCGGACTGGAAGGTTCCCTGTCACTAAGACAAGCCCTGTCGCCCCGCCCGCTGGCCCCTGTCCCACACCTGCCAGCAAGACCTTGCTTTTTCTTTCCTTTGCGAAGGAAGTTTCTGGACCAGCTCTGTTGGTCCCCTCACGTACAGGGCGGGGGCTCAGGAAAGCAAAAGCCACTTCATGTCACACCTAATGACACCCGCTGGGCCAGCAGGGGCTCCAAAGCTCCCCTACAGAGGCACCCAGAGGTGCCGGAGGCCGTGCTGTGGTTTTAGAGGTGACCAAGGACTGTCGCCTCCGGCAAGTCGGCGTCCAGAAGATCAGAGTCTTCACTTCACATTTTTAAACCATGTCACCCTTGCAGGTGCAGCTGTGTCATCGGGCCGAGCCTGACGGCTGCGGGGGTCCCCCAGCCGCCTACGTGGAGGTGAGCAGCGGCTCCCGTAGAACCCCGGGCTTTCCGCCCCGCGGGCCGTTCCTGCAGGTGACCTGGAGCCACCAGGATGTGTGGAGGGGCCCGCGTGACCCACGGTGGGGCCTGGGGCACTGCCCTTGTAGGGTTGAGCCTCAGTTTCTCCGTGAGGCAGTGCACGCGGCCGCTTGCCTGCTGCTCGGTGGCCATCGCTAGGCCTCTGTCCTCGCCCTAGCTCCTCCCCGGCCAGGGCATGGCACGCACCGGACACTGGGGGCCTGGGCACAGCGGGCTCTGCCCTGCGCTTCGCAGCTGCACTCGCTGGGTCTCAGTCCTCCCTGAGGTCAGCGCTGCCATCACCCTGTTCCACAGAGGAGACCAAGGCCCAGAGAGGTTAAGGCACTTGACCAAAGCCGCACAGCTCGTACACGGCCTTGGGTGACTGGTGGCCAGGTCTGTGCTCTCAGCTCCTTGGGTGCCTAGGTCACGGCAAGACAGGGAAATGCATCCTGTGTGACATGCCCAGGGGTCAGGGATGGGTGAGGCCCCAGTGGCAGGGCAGGGACTGAAGGGGCCCCACGCCCCATCTGCTTGGCCTTGGCCCCCTCGAAGAAGCCTGGACACTGACATCCTCTCCTTTCAACCCAGTTGGAGGCCTCGGTCTGTGTGGCTCCCCAGAGAGGGCTGGGCCCCAGGGGTCAGAGGTCCTGAGTCAGGTCGGCCTCAGGGGGACGCGGAACACCAGCCGGGCCTCAGCCCCAGGAGCAGGGCAGAAGGCTCCCTGGACCCTGCCCCTGAGGCCTTCTCTACGGGTGAGGGATCAGGGACGGCGCGGTCCCCTGGTGACGCCTTACCAGGACTTCAGCGCCCTCTTGGCCATCAGATGTGTGACCTCTGGGCCTCGGATTCCCCTTGAAAGCTGCTCCACATCACTGATCGTTAGAGAAATGCAAATTAAAACCAAAAGAGATACTACTTCACCCCCAGGAGGACGGCTGTTATCAAAAAACAGGAGGCAGAAAAACAGTCTGAGATACGTCCCTAGATCGCTCCCCTTGAC